CATTACCAGAAGGAGAGCTTGGAACCAACAACCAGCACTGGAAAACAGGCCTGTGTCTCCCCAGCACCAGGACAACGAAAGAAGCGGCATTTGTTATGGGATTCTTGATAGGGTCGTGACAGATTCGTCCACGCGTGTGCCGCCCCCTGCCGTGGTGCCTGTGTTGCTCGGGAACTTCCTAGACAATAGCTAAAGAGCTCGTGGACCTATGTAAGGGGTAGCGGTGTACCCGCGACAGATGGGCCACGTGATAGTCTTGGGCCAAGCTCCGCGTGGTTTCGGTCGTGAGAGCTCGAAGGCTAGCTCCCTGACAGGAGCTTTTGCCGAGCTCCGCGTGGTTCGGTCGTGAGGGCTCGAAGCCTAGCTCCCTGACAGGAGCGTTTGCCGTATGATCGTGGGCGGGTCCAAATTAGAGGGCACAGAGGCGAGAAACACCAAGACTCATTGAATCCACGGGCGCACCCTAATACGATCGGCAACACTCCGTCTCAAGCCGGGCGTAAATCATTGAGACTCGCCGGTTTCAAGTTCTCCTGACCACTTGCTGGCCGATCTTTTGTCCCAATCGGCGTTTCTCCACTTCAGTGCTTTCTCCGTTCACTTGCTTTCCAGCGTTAAAAACGCTGTTGACTTATGTATCATCCCGACTTTTTTCCGAAGTTAGTCTTATCCCGCCGACTTCTTGTCCTACGACTGTTTCCGATTCGACTTTTATCCCTGTCAATCCTAGTCCCAGTCCTATTTTTTTCCTTCGGCTTTATTCCCGATTCCACTATTATGCTTGTCGACTTTTATGCTGTTTCACTTTTGTTTCCATTTGTTTCCTTTCCGAATTGTATTCCTATCAACTGTTTATCCACTATCCCTTTCGACTACTTTCGTTCGACGCTTTCCATTCACCTTTTTCATTCGAATTTTGTCCGGACCCCTGTTTCCCCTGCGGACGGGAATCCCGTAGTTTTCGGAACAGTGGGACAGCACGCGATAACATGATAGCCATACTCCCCGGAGTTCAGCGCTAGCGTCGGACTGCGCAGCGAAGCCGAACCGGGAACAGACCGGTTGCAAGAAAGCTTTCCAAGAACACTGCGCGGCACAGCCACGGCATTAGCAAACAAGTAGTATGAGGCGAGGTGCTTCTGCGACGGTGGTTAGCCTGTTGCTCTGGGTGTTGGCACATCGCTTTCTGTCGTAGTTTGCGGCCGCGGGTGCGGGAAAACCCACACGGGCCCCGCCTGGGAAAGAGGTATCTCTAACTCGACAAGAGTTCTTGCTCAGCTTCGTAGAGACCTTGACCTAAAAAACATAAATGAAGAAATCCTTGCAGTTCTTGAATGGTCAACGCTCTTGCGAGAATCAAGGCTTGTGCAAGCAGGTGAGAAAGAAATTCCTAATTGTGCTGATTCTCGTTGCAAAAGTCAACTGAGGTACTTGCCAGGCGTTGCCAGTCTTCGTCTAGTTAAAGACATTCACCTATCGTGTTTTATTGAACTCATTCGTTGCCTCTGAAACCCAAATTATATATCCTAGTTTCCTTATCCAAGGCGTACATCTTTTCCGGGTGTTTGATTGGCAGTGAGATATTCGTCTTCATAATACAAGCTTTTGGTCCTCCACAAAGTTGGGTAAGACGGACAAGTCTCCCATTTTTAAGAAGTGAAATTCTGCCTTTGGTCGTTTTCAGGCACTCTGTACATTTGCATCAAAGAACGAATAGAGGATGGAGAGGTCCATGCCATGGGTGTTCCATAGGAGGCAACGTCTTTAGAGGTTCTCATACCCCCAGCACCTGGCCGGTGGCGGAGCTCCTGGGTCGCAAGTCTTTAAAGATTCTCATACTCTAACACCTGGCCGGTGGCGGAGCTCCTGGGTCGCAAGTCTTTAAAGGTTCTCATACTCCAACACCCGGCCGGTGGCGGAGCTCCTGGGTCGCAAGTCTTAAAAGGTTATCATACTCCAACACCTGGCCGGTGGCGGAGCTCCTGGGTCACAAGTCTTTAAAGGTTCTCATACTCCAACACCTGGCCGGTGGCGGAGCTCCTGGGTCACAAGTCTTTAAAGATTCTCATACTCCAACACCTGGCCGGTGGCGGAGCTCCTGGGTCGCAAGTCTTTAAAAGTTCTCATACTCCAACACCTGGCCGGTGGCGGAGCTCCTGGGTCGCAAGTCTTTAAAGATTCTCATACTCCAACACCCGGCCGGTGGCGGAGTTCCTGGGTCGCAAGTCTTTAAAGGTTCTCATACTCCAACACCTGGCCGGTGGCGGAACTCCTGGGTCGGAAGTCTTTAAAGGTTCTCATACTCCAACACCCGGCCGGTGGCGGAGCTCCTGGGTCGGAAGTCTTTAAAGGTTCTCATACTCCAACACCTGGCCGGTGGCGGAACTCCTGGGTCGGAAGTCTTTAAAGGTTCTCATACTCCAACACCCGGCCGGTGGCGGAGCTCCTGGGTCGGAAGTCTTTAAAGGTTCTCATACTCCAACACCTGGCCGGTGGCGGAACTCCTGGGTCGGAAGTCTTTAAAGGTTCTCATACTCCAACACCCGGCCGGTGGCGGAGCTCCTGGGTCACAAGTCTTTAAAGGTTCTCATACTCCAACACCTGGCCGGTGGCGGAACTCCTGGGTCGGAAGTCTTTAAAGGTTCTCATACTCCAACACCTGGCCGGTGGCGGAGCTCCTGGGTCGCAAGTCTTTAAAAGTTCTCATACTCCAACACCTGGCCGGTGGCGGAGCTCCTGGGTCGCAAGTCTTTAAAGATTCTCATACTCCAACACCCGGCCGGTGGCGGAGTTCCTGGGTCGCAAGTCTTTAAAGGTTCTCATACTCCACCCTGGCCGGTGGCGGAACTCCTGGGTCGGAAGTCTTTAAAGGTTCTCATCCCAACACCCGGCCGGTGGCGGAGCTCCTGGGTCGGAAGTCTTTAAAGGTTCTCATACTCCAACAACTGGCCGGTGGCGGAACTCCTGGGTCGGAAGTCTTTAAAGGTTCTCATACTCCAACACCCGGCCGGTGGCGGAGCTCCTGGGTCGGAAGTCTTTAAAGGTTCTCATACTCCAACACCTGGCCGGTGGCGGAACTCCTGGGTCGGAAGTCTTTAAAGGTTCTCATACTCCAACACCCGGCCGGTGGCGGAGCTCCTGGGTCACAAGTCTTTAAAGGTTCTCATACTCCAACACCTGGCCGGTGGCGGAACTCCTGGGTCGGAAGTCTTTAAAGGTTCTCATACTCCAACACCTGGCCGGTGGCGGAACTCCTGGGTCGTAAGTCCGACCCAGCCGTGGGTCGACCTCCAGACCCGACGCCCACCGCCGCCGGTGGGGCCCGCTGGTCTTGCATTGCGCCGCGGCCGCCGTCGGCGTCGCGCGGCGTCCCGGGCGTCAGCCGCACGTGACGTGACTTCAGGATCGCTCTCCTGCCCGGTAACGCATTCGTAACCAACTGGGGCTTCAGGGGCGCCGGGCAGCGGCACTGACGAGGGCGCGGGTGTGCAGGAGCACGCAGAGTGCCGTCGTGGAATATCGGTCTACGGCAGCCGCGAAAATGACACGCCTGGGTGACAGGAAGGACGGCTCGCTTCGATGACGACGGCTCGAAGATGACGATGACGGCGGGAGGACGGCTTTCTTCTTCTTCGCTCGCACGCCTGTGCTGTGAGGCCGGACCGCGGCGCCGCTCCTGGCCGACAGTGTTAGTCCGAGTCGACCATAAAGTAGGTTATGTGGGCTTCAGTGGTGGATTTAAGTGACAGCTTATGAATCCCAAACGAAGACGTTGACCTTTTTTGTATCGCTTTCCCCATGCTCCGGGCAAGGATCTGGTCTCGCCACTACCCTGCCTGGTTACGTCAAAATGTCTGACGTCATGCAATCAAAAGACAAATCAACCTGGCATATTGCCTTATGTCTGCATTTTAGTAACTCAGTAGTATAATATGCAAATGGCCGACAGCCTCACTAAGTTTCGCAGCCGTTGGCCGAAATTTCAGACGTAATTCTGACGTTTGTGAACCTGCACGTAACGGGGTCATGGATCTTGGGCTATCAACCGCCGCCAAACCAGATTGTGGTCATTGCCCAGTAAATCCGGTATCTGTCCGCACAACGAAGTCAACCACGCGGTTCCAGGTTGTTTTGCGCGGCGGGCTCGTCTGAAAAGCCTGTAGGCACCCTAGAATTTCTGGTGGCTGGCGCGGGTGGAGCGCTCAGCCAGAATACATTTGCCGGTGGGGGGGTGGGGAGGGGGTGGGGGGTGGGGGGATGGGGAGGGCCGCCGTTTTTCGGCGTGGAGCTAGCCACCAGTTGTGCTTTCCTACGACGTTATACCCATGAAACGAGGACACTCAAACAACATGTCACGATCTGTGTCCCGGATGGACTGTTGTCGGCGCGGTCTTTATCCCGCATGATCATACCTCGTGGATCTTGTATACCATGTTATCTCGTGCGATCTTCTCACCTCGACCTTTACTCGGTACAACTTTTAGCCCGCGCGAACTGTTGCTATCGATTTCCCGGTGGCTCACCCTGTGTAATTTTGTATTGTTGCGATCCTCAACCCATACGAATATGTGCCATGCAGTTACTTACCCGGCCGTTGGTTTATTATGTCATCAACTTAAGTGATGTTTAAAAGGGGCGTAAAATGGTGAGGTACTAATTAGCGGTGATTTTTCTGAAACCGACATTAAAAAGGAGTGAGCCCTGTCCGTACGTGCGTGCCTCCGAGGTGGTGGTCTGGGGTAGACAAGCTATATAGCATTGGCAAGTGGAATGAGCTAGCACTGAAAGTGGCACCCAGAGGAAATGTCACGGGAATTTTCTGCTCAAGGAGTAACGTTGAGAGACATGCGCAACGAAAATGTTGCTGACAAAACGCTAAAGTTCGAAGACGAATTAATTTACCGCAGCACAATTTGCCAGGATCCGATACCAGATACAGAAAATGGTGTCGAAAGCTGAAAGCCCATTGAAGAGCCCCATGGGACAGGTGAGCACCGTACCTGCTGATAGCAATCCTTGCTTCCAGCTGCTGCTCCTCAGGGCGAAGGGGCGGCCCAGCACCGGATCACAGCACGCCTCAAATCACGTCACTCGCGCACGCACACCAGACACGCTCCCGGCGCGGGCCGGCCCGGCAGAATGGTCCACGCTGCCCCGGCGCGGTACCGGCGGCCCCAAAAACCCCCGACGGTCCGGCGGCGTCAGGTACTGCGGTGTCGCCCCTCGGCCGACAGAGGGCCGGCGCTCAGTCCGGCGGCCTCAGTAGGTCGCTGACCGCCAGAGCAGGCAGGCCTCTCCGACAACCCTGGAGAAATGGTCAGGGTGAAAATCACTCTCCGCCAGGGGCGGCATAACAGAGAGGGCAGCCGAGGTAGATAGGTAGAGGTAGGTAGGCAGCCCCCCCCCCCTCCCTAGCATGGAGCAGGGAGGGGGAATAGTATGTTTCACACACCCCCCCCCCCGAAATTCCGCCACCAGCAAAAGGATGTTTGTGGCGGAGATTTATCGTAAAATCGGCGTTGAATATGGACCACCACTGTAATGGTATCAATTTTTGTAAGTGAGTGGGCTCCAGGCCGTGTGTCCGACGCTCTATCCTCTCCTCAATTTCTCCTAACAGATTCGGCCCCACTTCTTACGAAAAACAATTAAAACTTTAAATATGTGTGTAGTTTATCTAGTAGTCCTCAATCTATGCAGCACAGCAGGCATGCGGTGGCGGATATGGAGGGGGAACTGGGATACGAGCCCCTTCTAATCGGAAAAAGGCGCCCCTCTCCATGTCGCGTTAGGGTGCCGAAGGTGCTCGCCTTCGGCGGCGCCCCATAAGGTGAGTCGGGCAAAAAAATTGGCGTTGGCAACATAAGGGGCGTAGCAAGGCAGGATGTTTAACAGAGGCGTAAAAAGGGCATAACAAGGGTCTACCTGCCCGGGTCACAGGACCTGCCGCATCAAGAAAGGACCATCGCATGATGTATCTCTCCAAGGACCTCCGGATTGACCAGGGGACCCTGCCTGCATGTCACCAGAATGGCAGTTGGTAGGCACCCAGCGCCCGGACGAAATGGCCTCCAGCCCCGGACCGGGAGGTATAACGTGCCCCTTGTGTTCTGCCCACTGGGCCTCTTACCTCGAAAAGGGTAAGCGGCCCTAGGGGTATTTTAAGTGTTCAAAAGGGTGGATCAAAATTAGGTCGAAATAAAAAGAAGGCCAACCCGTGCTTGCCGTGAGGCGTCCACCATTCACAGAATCGACTACTAAAACAAAAGGCATAGAACACTTTTGATCCCGCGCGCTCGCAGTCTCAGGAACAAGAGCACAGATGGCCGGGTTGCGGACTCCGCACAATCGAACGGCTGTTGGTTGCGGTTTCCGCACAATCGAACGGCGTTGGTTGCGGACTCCGCACAATCGAACGGCGTTGGTTGCGGTTTCCGCACAATCGAACGGCGTTGGTTGCGGTCTCCGCACAATCGAACGGCGTTGGCCGCTGAAAATAGCACCAGGCGGCGGACGCCGGGCGCAAGACAACGGCCGTGGAGACCTAATGCTTCAGATAGCCGTTCAAAAGTCTTTAAAAATCCTTTCGCACCATCAAAGGTTTGACTAGGACGTATATTTTGCCTTTATAGTTTTGACTGTGACCGCTAGACGACTAACAGTTACTACAGTACAAGACATAGAGCTTCCACGTTTACTTTTTCATTGTCACCACCAAACTCCAGCGCCAGCTTGCGATGCTGAATGAATTCTTATTTGTTCCATTAAAATGTATGAATCTGAATGGGTGAATATACGCCCGCACGACCTTTTGAACGCAAAATGTCATGCATTAAAGCGCGGAAAGGCATTTCTTTTAAATGCGTCACCATTGTCGTCCTCCGTTGGTGGTCGCCTAATGTTAGCCGCGGGCCGACGCCGTTCAGCCTACGGAGAATGCAACGCCGGCCGCCGAAATTTTTGTTACTAAGGCTTGCGAATGCGCATGTTATATTATTCAATTTGTTTGCGACTGGGTCCTAAATGAGTATTGAGCATTCCCAGACGAACGAGGTCGGCCATTCTCATGCCGCCAATTTTCGCCCCTGCCGGTTCTACAAGCTACGTTCACGGGGTCCTCAATGCCCCTGTAGAGCCCAGAAAAATGCTGGTAAAATCTCTGAGACCTGAGTACCATCGGTGTAGGAAAAATTCTACTGACCCATCACAAGACTGACAACTTCGGTGGTTTAGTTCATGCAATGGCTCAGCGCCCAGCTGCTTTAACTGAATGCCTTAAATACAACAGACTTGCATCTTTCGGGGTTCATGGCTTATGTTCCAATTAAAGAAAATAAAGATCAAAGCAAAGCGAATGAAATCTTGCTCCTCGAAATTCAGAGCGCCATATCCGGTGATTTATTTGTGGGCCTTTCACCACCAAGGGCTCTTTTTCACTCTGTGTCCCCCGCACGCCGACTCTGGTTACGCCCCTGCCAAAGTTAGATCACAGATGTGCGGGTTCTGAACGCAAGTACGCCTACAGGTGTAGACTGGCTAGCGTTCGACGCTCTCCCAAGGGTTCTACAGGAATGGCCGCCGCCTCTACAGCTACTCGCTGTTGCATGCGGCAACCAGCAGTGGGTAACGAATACAAGCAAAAAGAACGAAGCATGAGTGGGTACTAACAATTGGCCTTCAAAAGTCAATCTGAAAGTAGTCGGCGGTTCAAACGTCTCTCAGGAGAGCATGCATGGCCGGTTAAAGATGCCTAGTGTTGAAGAAGGACGGAACGGGACGATCAAAGTAAACTTGCGATCAGTTGACCCACATACCCTTGTTATGAGTTGGACGGGCACTACAAGTATAGTTGTTACGTTCAGATCGATTTCAACCTTCGTAGATAGCAATCTCAAATGCGTATAAACACGCACGTACCCTATACTGCATCAGCTCATTACAGGCCAGGCCGTATCGCTGATGGGTGTAAATAAATGCAATGCAACGATGCGAAACACTCCATTCTTTTACTGATGACTGAGGTTTGGTGACGAGCTTTAATCGCGATGAAAAGCTTATGGAGGCAATACTCATTGCAAAAAGAAACGCTGGCATGAAGTGTTCGTTGGATTTTAGAACTCCCAAGGTGTGTATAATCACAGTTGCTGGAGATCCTGTGAGGGTCGGGGCCCTGACCCCCCCCCCCCCCCGCCCTCCCATCGGGCCCCGGAAAACCTCAAGTGTGGGTTGGGTGTCTGGTGCCTTCCGGCAGCACCGTTTTCCACTGGCGTAGCGCGAAGAGCAATGACTGCACTGAATGGAAAGCATCCCAAGAGATTTCTTCTACCAGAATGTAAACTGGAGGCAGTATTGCTCTCTCTGGGCCTCAGTGCACCCTATTTGGCTCTTCGCCCAGCGAAAGAAGCGCCTCGTAGGGATACCGGAGCGCTTGCTGACTCTTCAGCTTTCCTCCATCGTGACCTCTGCCGTCGTGAACGCGAGACCGCAGGCCCCGCCCAGCCCATGCTGAAGCTCCCCAAGCTTGACAGCTCGGCGCCGCGCCGCACCTTCGCCAGCCTCGCTGCGGGATCTCCCCGTCTGTTGGAAAAGGCTCGACGTGTGCTTCTCAGTCTACGACGACTGGCCCCGGGTCGTGTGGAGCGACCATCGGCCTTCGTCCACGACAGGACTCCTGACGTCGATCGTGTCATTAATGAAGCAGCATCTCCGTAATCAGCGCAACATGCTGGTGGACCGCCTGCGGCTTTTACTCTCGGTTGCAAGGGGAGTGAGAACGCATCGACGCTTCCCTGAGTGGCATCTGGAAAGTCTCCGCGTTTTGCGTCCTCGGGGAGCACTTTTGGACGGCAGGCGCCACGAGCGGCTCGTGTGCGGCAGGGGCGACGGGGGGGGGGGGGGGGGGGGGGGGGGGGGGGGGGCTGTGAGGCGCCGAGATGGGGGTCGCCGATCTGACCATGCCAAGGGCAGTGGACAAACGCCGAGCGTCTAAGAATGTGCGTGCTTCGTGTGCCGACATCGGCGGCGGCATAGGTGCGTCGCTGGTCCGGCTTGCGTCGTGCCGGACGTCGAAAGGCAGATCACGGATCTCGTCGGTCCGTGGCTCCGACCACCGGGGCAGCTGGAACGACAGCGCCGCCTATAGCTGCTGCAGCGGAAACGACAGCGTTACCTATAGCTGCTGCAGCGGAAACGACAGCGTTACCTATAGCTGCTGTTGTCGCGACGGCAGCGCCATCTGCCGAAAAAAGCGCCACCTCGCGGAGGGCGGCGCCACCTGTCGGTTGTTCATCAGCAAGAGACAGTGCTGACGGGGTCCAGCGACGCACCACCTGTCGGAGGCGGCCCAAGCGGCTGACGCGACGGAGCGATTCCATGTTTCTTCGGCAGTGACCCTGCAGGAGCCCGATGGAAGGTGGCCCGATGGTGATTCAACTTCACGCTGACGCGGCGTGAGCTGTCCTCGGCAGTGACCCTGCAGGAGCCCGATGGCTGGCGGCCCGATGGTGATTGAACTTCACGCTGACGCGGCGTCGGCTGTCCTCGCCGCGGCCCGGTTTATCTCGTGCGCCTGCTGCTGGTTACCAGGCGCATATCCAGAGTATGTCAGCGAGTCGACCTGGCTCGGCTCAACCTCCACCCAGCGCCACCTACCTACCCGGTCCGGTCACCACCCAACACCACCTACCTACCCGGTCCAACCACCAGCCAACATCACCCACCTACCCGGTCCGGCCACCACCCAACACCACCCACCTACCCGGTCCGGTCACCACCCAACGCCACCCACCTACCCGGTCCAACCACCCGCCAACGCCACCCACCTACCCGGTCCGGCCACCACCCAACACCACCCACCTACCCGGTCCGGTCACCACCCAACGCCACCCACCTACCCGGTCCGGTCACCACCCAACACCACCCACCTACCCGGTCCGGTCACCACCCAACGCCACCTACCTACCCGGTCCGGTCACCACCCAACACCACCCACCTACCCGGTCCGGTCACCACCCAACACCACCCACCTACCCGGTCCGGTCACCACCCAACACCACCCACCTACCCGGTCCGGTCACCACCCAACACCACCCACCTACCCGGTCCGGTCACCACCCAACACCACCCA